AAGTCTTATTTTATATATGTATATATATATATATATTTGAGGTACTGTTGGGACATGTGGATTTTTAGTAGCTATTGGTTATATGGGATGTAATCAATTTCGTGCTGTTCTTTGTTGTATTCTTGCTGTTGGTTTTCTTGGTTTACAAACATGTGGTGCAATTATTTCACATCTTGATATTGCATCAAATTATGCCGGTAAGAATTTTTATATAGATTTGATTGAATTAGAAAACAAATTTTGTAATTAGGAACACTTGTTGGTATTACAAATACATTAGCAACAATACCTGGTTTTGTTGGTCCATATGTTGTTGGAGCTATTACAAAAAATAATGTAAGATTTGTTATTTTTCTAGTCTATGAAGAATATCGATTGAATATTTATTTATAGCAAACAATTGAAGCTTGGCGTCTTATATTTAATATTTCAGCAGGTATTGGTGCTTTTGGTAGTCTTGCTTATTGTATTTTATTCAATGGTGAAGAACAACGATGGAATCGAATAGAGCATGAAAATGATACAAATGGACCAACAAATACTTGAAGAAAATAAAATACTGTAGTATTTTTCTACTTTTTATTTTATTTTTTTATTTGTTATACTCAAAGTTTTGTTCAATTTTTATCTCACAGAGAGAGAAAGAACAATGTAGATTGAACAACTCAAAAATGTCTTAGTCTATGAAACTAATGAGATTCAATAATGATCACTGAATGATTAACATTTTGTCGGACAATTAGATGTAAACTGATGTTATGTAAAAGACTTCTATTTCGGTTTTTTTTGACTTAATGGATTCATTATATAGTTGAAATACTAACTATTCGAATATCATTTTATTTCATATAAAGCGCTATCAATTATTTCCTACTCTTATTAGATATTGTTTTTCCAGCTGTCTGATGTCATAGGATTTTGTTTTTCTACGTGTTCTTTCGTAATTATTCAAATCGAATAGTTTATTAGAACAGTTGCAAGACGTGTATATAAGCAATTTTCATGTGTAATAACTAGAATATTGGGTACTTTCATATCAGTAATGATCTTGTTGACCATATGATCACGCAGATTGTCTTCATAAAGAATCATATTCTCTGATGTCTCATCAGTAAATAATTATGAAATATCATGTTCGATACGATGTCACTGAGTTTTATCACAAGTTCGAACTCTCGTTGAGACCAGTGCATTCATAGCATGTCAATTCATTTGATGTTTGCTTCATTTTTCTGATAATTCATTAGTTCTAACTTAATATATATCCTTAATATATAGAATTTGATCATAAGGAAATCAAATTCTGTTGACGATAAGGATATTTTTCTATTCATGGTCATCTAATCAACCATGAATATGCTAAGTGTTGAATAGTCTCTCGTCAATAATAGTTATGTATAATTGATGTATTGATTCTCTTGAGGGTCATGCATAAAGAATGTTCAGGAAGAAGTCGCATTTTTTGATCATCCCTTTCTTCCTGGATGTCTATTACTCGCATATGTTCTATAGTCTGATTAAACTAATACAAAATACGTAAAGTGAAGACTCTCGTAGAGTATAGTTTTGTTTTGCAGGATAATTAAACATCAGAGTAAGGATCTCTCTAGTTTTTGTACTATGAACAGAAACTTTTTTAATTTGTTCTGCGGGCCTCCTTTTTTTGTTTGCATTGTTGCTATTCTCTCAATCCTTTTTTTTCAATTTATTTTTCTTAATTTAACACTGTAGTTATTATAATCATTGAACTAATTGGCAAATAAGTTTGTTCTACATATTTATGATACCCACAGCAGGTTATTATATATATTAGTCAACTCATTAACAATGCTATTCATTATTTTTCAAAAGTACAACTTGATTAATTCTTCAAAAAACTCCGGAAGCGTTACACCTATTATTCTCAATTGTTAAAGTCTGTAGTGGGAGAAAGTGTCTAAAATGTAGACGAGGAGCTGCAAAACTTGGACTTAAAACTTACACTCACTATTTTCTTCGAAAACATTTGTGAGTTCCGCAAAAGGAAGGTTGAAGTATATGAGATAGAAATTTGTACCTCCACGCTTTCCTAGAGACCGTGACAGACGCCTGGCACTAGCAACGAATTCTATCTCCGTTACGGACTATGACAGACGTTGTTGATATAGGATCAAAAACCATATGTCAGTAGAATCTTGTTATAATGTATGAATTGTTTAAAGTAAAAAGATGGCGAAGAAGCGTGCTTCAGATTGATAGAATAAAAAAAAACTCGTTGTAATTAGCAAGAGGAACTACATTTCGTTTCACACTTATGCCTCGAAGATTTGTTCTATTAGATTTTTTTCTCAATTAAGTAATAGTTCATTAGATAAATATATCAAAAATAAAAATGCAAACACATATTTCATAAATAACCAACTAAAATCTAACCAATTGCAAAGTTTTTGCTTTTTAGAAACGTTCGACTTTAATGAGCAGAAAAGTAAAAAAAAATGAAGCTCAGCATGACAGTCATTCGAAAATCTTACATTATTTAGTTCACTTTATATTAGAAAATACCCTTCAAAATCAACAAGCCTTGACAATTACTCCGAAAGTTGTGTAAAGAAAACCATAACAAATGTTTAGACATTCAGAGAAAATTCACTTCGTCTCTCCTCTGTCCAGTTTTGACGGCTCTGCACCACTTCCAGTTTGCCTATACCTATTTTGTCGACGATTCGTTGACGACATTTTTCACGCATAACAACACTAATACACACGAAAACTTAAACCAACATTGATATAACATTTTTTTTTAATTATGAAAGAAACTGTTAAAGAATTTTATTTACTTACGTCAAATAAAATAATAAACAACTGCGTTTGTTGTTACATGATATCAAAGATAACAGTTTAGTTTTTGATTATTTGACAAGCATAATTTGTGTTGTGTTCCAATTATATTAGCATTAAGATTTTTCATATTATTTCCATCTATTCAGATTAATTGTACATGATTCTTGATGAATTACAGAATACAACTATCTTGTCCACCAAAAGATTTACATTTTTAGATAAGAATAAATAATAAAGTTTTCTTCATATGTCTTAAATGTAAACATAAGTAGATAATTGTGAGTAAATATTGATCAATTATTTCAAAGAGAAATAGAATACTTCTAAATTGCTTTATTCACTGTTGAGAATAAGTGATAACTAATCTTAGTATAGTTTTTTCGTAACTTAGACAATATTTTGCCATAGATTTCTTTACCTTTAGAAAAGAGTTAAAGTCTAATGGATAGAAAGATAATACGTGTATTCTTTGTTTTTGCAGAAGTAACAAAGTCTACAGTAGATGGTTAGTTGTTTTCCACTTTGACGACTAAGCATACGATCATATAATGAAGTAACTATTTCTGTTAGTTTTGATCGATATGATCACGAAATGAACTTTAACTCTCATTGAAACTGTTCGAATGAGTTATAATCGTTGGCATTAACTCAGAATCGATTTTCTATGCGCTCAAAATACTTTTGTGATCTATAAAGCTTAACAATTAAATCTGTAGATCTCAATCAATCGAAAATATTAAAATGCAGCAGTGATCCAACTGTTATGTTTCCTAATGATCTTGAAAAGCATTTTTGTTATATATTTTCCATGATTAATATTAAGCAAGAGAAACATTCATATTTCTTCGATGATATTCACTTTTTATTACCACTGTCTCGTAATGTAATCTAATTTATTGATTTGTAATTCTACTATTTTCTTGATGATCTGTAACAAATATATCATAAGTCGATGATATCTCACATGCTTTTCAAATTTCCTTAGGACAGTATATTGAACTTGTCAACGAATATGACCTCTTTTTGCGTATATATCGATGTATATATTAAATAATATGGGTACAACTTGACTATATAAGGAAAGTAGAAGCTAAAAAAGATGAGTGCAAAAACAAAACTACAATAGGTTGCTAGGAATCATCTATGATTGATGTCCAGATAAAGAAGGTGCGTTATAACTGAATAAATCTAGACACAAATAATGAGAGGTCAAACAGTTCTAGATGTACAGACAGTCACTATGAATATTTTCCTTTCTTATTGTACAAGTGGCGGCAAAATTTCAAAGCTGTTTGCGTTGAAGAGCACTTTTAAATAGAAAATGACGAAGAAGGAAGAACGCTCCTGTCTTTTTGTTACCTGGCTGTATAGAGATGCTTGAGCATCCTGTAAATACTGCCTAACAATATACTAGTCACGAGAGCAGGGTTATGTCACAACCGTACGCCATGAAAGCGTTGTAGAGAATGAGGGATGTATCCCTCCCCAATAATTGAAAAATATTCACTATTATTCAATGGTGTTACTAAGATTTAAAAAATTTTTTACTACCTCTGTGAGAGTTTTTCTTATGCACCAATCCAGCCCCTAGTGACTTGTCCAGAATCGTTTCATGGCCGATGATAACAGGGTTTGGATACAGTATCTATTGGAAGCATGCCGAACAACGTACCGACTAACAAGGAAACCTTGTTAATTAATCGATCGTTGTCTCAAAGACGTTACTGAGTTGTTGGTTATCGACGACATTGATTCAGAATATGACCATAAGAAATCCTCTTAGGTCTTGCCGTTGCTAGTTTTCGAAAGAAGCGATTTTTCAGCCTAACTAACATTTTGATGAAAAATGGTTTGGATCTACTTAGACTACAGAGCATATCGAGTTGTCAATAGGATAATAATTCTTCCTATTTTTCAAAAATGAGTTTTAAGTAAAATAATAACATCTTGAAGATTTTCACAGTGAAAACGTCGATCTATGTGATGTATGGATTAAAATGATTATATTTTCTGAAAAGAAATGATTCGAAATAGAATACCTACTGTTGTAGAGGCAATTTTATATATTCTGTAATCTGAACACACCAAAAATCATTTTTTGGCGAAAAGTTTGTTTGTCTAGAAAACTACCATGTTAAGACCTAAAGAAATTTAATATAGTCATATGAAGAATCACCATGGTCCATAATCCATAACTGATTAAGCTTCGCTGAGAAAGCGATTGATCAATTGAAAATGTTTCCCCAGTTAGTCATAACGACAGAATAGGAAATACACTGAATAAATTAGTTGAATATAAATATGCTGTTGAAATAATTCAAGAATATGTTACATGTAGAGATAGTTATTATGTGAAACATTTATATAGAATTTTCGAGTGTCATTTGTAGTATATGATATGTGAGTCTTCATCTCTATTTTTGCTATATGTATTTAACAAACTGTTATTTATTAAAAAAGCAGCAGTATATATGACCAAGCCGACTTTTCTGAAAGTTTTTTTTTTTTTATATTGGATGTTACAGTTCATCGGGTTGGTTCGGGACTCAATGAGGTCTGGGTCTAAGAGCTGTCTGTTTAGCAAGTCCGAAAACTTTGAATCTGATAAGCTCCTACTGGATGTTCAGGAAAATGGAAGGATCGATTAACCCGGACAAATCTTGACAAAGGGAAGGTGTGAGTGTGTCTTCGCTTGAGATACACATCGCTAATCAGCAAGCTAATAT